GAAACAACAAATGGACGTAAGTGTTCGACTTTGGAATAAAGATACAAATAAAGTTCAGACACGATATTTGACATCAGTATTTCTTGGTCATTCAACAGCAATGGATTTGTTGGATAATTTCAAAGAAGCCCTTACCCAATTTTCCATCAATAAAAATAAAATAATTCAAATATCTATGGATGGACCTAATGTCAACCATAAATTTCTTAATGATCTTAAAAAAGAACTTGAGGAAATGCCGCAAGATCCTTTGCTGTTAGATATAGGTAGCTGTGGACTGCATACAATCCATTGTGGGTTTAAACATGCAATAAAGTCTACAGGGTGGAATGTAGTAAACTTTTTACGGGCGCTATACTACATTTTTAAAGATGTACCATCACATAGAGCTGATTTCATATATTTCACTGGATGTGAAAAATTTCCGAAGAAATTTTGTGTAATCCGATGGGTTCAAAATGTAGAAGTTGCTGAGAGGGCATTAGAAATGTTGCCTCATATTTTCGAATTTGTGAAAGCAGCAAAGGAGGAGAAAAAATCTATGTTGGCTCAAAAAATTTCAGTGTACTCTCGGAGTGTATCAAAGACAGTTTCTTTGCTGCAAAATTGGCATTTTTCCAGTCATTAGCTGCTTTTATTGAAACATTTCTCACAGAATTTCAGATCGATGCTCCATTACTTTTCTCTAATTTAACATAAATTTTAAGATCTCTTCTTGATAAATTTGTAAAACCCGATATTTTAGTGGAGAACTCTTCAAAATTAGGAAAAATAGATTTTTCATTGGCAGATAATATGCTTCCAATCAACGAAGTTGCTCTCAGTTTTTCAGTTAAGGATGAAATTAGGAAAATAAAAGATTCTTCACCTTCTGAAGAATTTTCATTTACGAAAGGATGTGCAATTGCTTATAAAAAATTCTGTGAAAAGATTTTAGAAAGATCACCTTTTAAATTTCAGTTAACAAGGGGGCTATCTTGTCTTGATCCTGGTGTAATTTTAAATACAGCAATTGCTGAAAAACGGCTTTCATCTTGCCTTTCAATGTTGGTATCTAGCAATTGGATATCAGGTATCAAGACTGACTGTGTGAAAGATAGTTACAAAACGTTCATTCGGAATCCTCTAGTTAAGAAAGAAATGGAGCAATTTGAGAAGAGGGAAAAACGACTGGATAATGTTTTCTTCTCTCTATTTGAAGTTTGCAATGCACCAGAAAATTTACGTTCCTTTGTTAAGCTTCTCCTCATATTGTCACACGAAGTGCTTTTATAGAAAGTGGCTTTTCTATTAATTCAGACTGTTTAATAAAAAATGAACATGAAGATAGTTTAGTTGCTCTAAGGCAAATTCATGATGGTGTTATGGATGTTGGTGATGTTAACAATATAACTGTGACGAAATCCATGATAAGCTACGGAAAACAGTCTCACACGCGTTATATTGAAGTATTAGAAAAAAGGAAGGAGGCAGCAGAAGAAAAAAAGAAAGTAAAAGAGGCAAAATGAAAAATTAAAAAAAGAATTGCATGCTAAAAAACAAAAATTTACGGCTGATTTTTATTTAGAAACTTCCTTAAATTGATGAACAATTAAAAGCTATAAGAAATTAATTTTTAAAAGCTTTCAATTATTCACTTGTTGAGCTATTTATACTGTATAATTTGATTAACTCCACTTTTTAAAACATCTCAAACTTAAATGTCAAAGAATATATTAATATATATATATATAGGTAGTATATTTTTTACATTTAAAATAAGTTTCCCAGATAATATAAATGAACAACATTATATGACTAAATATTTTTGGCTTTTCATTTATTGATAATTTATTTCACAAGTAATTTCGATCTCAATTCTAAATTTTTAGTTTGATGGAGTTGATCAATTTGTGTAATAAGCTATTTATATAACAACTTTTTATTTTGTACAAAATAAAGTTTCTAAAATTCCTTGAAATGTAGATTTTTATTTTTATAATTTTTAAGTTTATTTATATAGTTGAGTATACAGCAGTTATTTTTTTATATGTTAATTTTATGGCTGCTATTTCAATAATCTATAATTTTAGCAGAAATATGTGCATTAATATATATTTTTTGGTGCTAGAAATGCCTAACTCTTTACACCTATTTTATCAGAGAACATTTGCACTTTTTTTCTCATTTTAATGTGTCATCAAATCTTGTAAATGTGTATCCACATTTGTAAAAGAAATTCATACAACACATTTTAAAAGCAACACAGCTGTATATATATATACATATTTTTTAAAATTTACTGTATATTGTTGTATAGCTAATAAATTTATGAAGTCTCGTTAATGTTGCGTTGTGGTATCTGGAATTTTAGAAATTTACTCTGGAAAACTCAGGGAATTTTTTTTGATCTGGAGAGTGGACACCCTGTATTAGTTTTAATTGCTGGAAAAAGAGCTAAACATACTTAAATAATGCTACAGTAAATGAAATAATTTAGTATAGCTGAAATATCATGGTTAAATATTCCATAGATTACACTTTGAGTGGTCACCATTTTTTAAAAGACAAAATTCCCTGTGGAGTGGCAACCCTGATATGGTAGTTATCGATTAAAATATTGCATTTAATACACAATGGAGTAAAGAATTTATAGTAAAATAGTCATTCTATAACTACCATCTAATAATGCTAAGAATTATTTTTCCTATTAGATAATGAATGAATCCTTTTATTCTGGTACAAGTTGAGTTGTATCTTCAAGTTAACAGGGGTGATTGTGAGCGCAAGTCAAAATTCTGGAAAATTCATAGTTAAAAAAAAAGAAGAACAGTTTAATTGAAAAAAGTTTAAACAAGGTTTTTTTCTTCGCTTTTCTTAATATTTCTTAGTTCACTTAAAAATATTTAAAATTTTACACATACTTATGCCATTTACACATACCTGGAGAAGTAATTAAAATTTACAAATATGTCTTTCTTTCTTGAGTTTATGATTATAACAACTATTTACTCATAAAAAATGAAAATTAATCATGAATATGAGCTTATAAAGTATCTCTCTGGCTCTCCCTTACAAGCAAATAAAATAAACTGTGTTTTTAAATTCCACCTTTGAAAATTTGATTTCCGGAAACTTCTGTGATCAATGATTTTTTGAAATGTCTGGACCTTCGATCTCCGGAAATTTTCAGATCACTGTTTGCGAAAATTCCAGATTTTTTCCGGAGCACAATCAGCCATGAGTTAAGGGAGAAATTAAGAGATTTATGACAAGAAAAACAGTTTTATAATGTAGAGTATTTAGTGGTCATATCGTATCTAACTTACAATTATATTAATACTAGTTCTCTGATTCAGTACCGTAGAAAATTTGCACGTAAATATAATGATAAATGACTTTCAGAAAGAATCACCATTTAACACATTTGCGTATTCTGGCATATTTTATAAGTACCTAAGTATTTTGTCTGTAGGCAAAATTACTACATACTTCTACCTTTCAGTATATGGAGAAAACAGCTTTTTTTTTGTATGCAGGAAAGCATTCAGCTTTATTCTATTTTACGAATTTATTAAGTAAGGCAAGTGTTGAAATGAATTTTTAATAAAACTCACATGTTACATTATATTTTAGAAGATAAATTATGATCAGATTTTCATACTGCAGCTACAACTGAATGGCATTTGTCCAGAATGAATTGCAGTTATAATTGAATATGTGTCACTTTGACTATTTAATTTCGTATAAAATATTTCATATATATATTTTTTTAATTCAAAAAGTTAATTTCGAACATAGGAAATGATATATAAGAATGAAAATAAAATAACGGCATTTAATTATAGTACTATAATAGATTATTTTATCTTTCCTTTAAGTATAGTAGTGCCCAAATGCAAACTTATTTACACCCTCAAAAGAATGAATGGTAAAAGATTGAAATAGTGTAATAATAAACATAAGAACCAAGCATTAGCCTTATATAATATTACTATTAAAAGAAATCAGACCAATAAAAATAATATAAAAATTTCTTTACTATATAAAGAGTCAGATCTTACATATTTACAATTCATAAAACAGAAATGACTATCGGAACACAAATTCAAAAATGGGCTTCATAAACTGCAAAGAATTTTAAAGATCTATGGTTTAAACTTTTTATAATCCATGTAACAGCAACTAGTTTATAGAATATAATGCAAGAGACAATATTCTGGCTGAATAAAATATGTCTCAGTCTGACATGAGAAAAATGCAAATTATTACCAATAGAATAAGTTTTATAATCAAGATATGTGATTATGGAAGCACTATTTGCAAAGGCGTGATTCAAAATTGCACTTAAAGTTTTTCGAGACAACTGAAAGACAGATTAGTTGATTTGGTAGCATTGTAGTTGTGAAAAAATTGTTTGCCATATTCATAACTGCTGATCATGATAGCACACCCAGGAGCAACTTTAGTTAGACGGGGAACAATACCTAGAACAAAACAATCAAGTCAAATGAAAGGCTTCAAAGAAAAAAATACAAAATGTGAAGTGAAATATTAAGGAGTTGAAACAATTCCAAAGATACTTACCAGCAAAGAGAGATTTATAGCCATTAGATTGGTACAAAGTCTTCATTAAATTATAAGTAGAAGTTGAATGAGATCCTAAAAATAAATAAGTTTTACCCATAAGTAAAAAGAAATCATAAAATTTCGTATGAATAATATATACTATAACAATTAAAATATTAATTGTTGAATTTGTGTTTCAAATTTTTTTTATTTTTATAAAAGTCTTTGAAAATAGATCACACATATATAATGTTGAGGATTAAAAAAAATAATGACATTCTCCAAACTAAGCTACTTAGGTTAAAAAGTTTGAACCTAGGGTTTAATTTTAAAGTTAAGTTCAAAACTTCTAAAAAAATATTAGCGAAGAATAAGGTTCATTACATAGAATAAATAGTTCTGGGTAGTACAATAAAATATAAAATTTTGAATTTCGAGGATCCACGTTTAAAACCAATTTTACTTTAAATTTTTATTCATCCTCTTAGATTTTCCTCACTGCCATTGAAAAAAACATCTGAAATTTGGACAAGAAAATAATGTACGTAGGAAGCATGTATCCATAAAATTTAATCAACGTTTTCATAAAAAAATATTGATGAATTGATGTAACACATTTATAAAAAAAATCCTGGGTATTTGAATCTTAATAGGAGATTTTTAAAACACATGATTATGAATCACAATGCATGATTTAAAATTGTACAATTATAATTTTGAACCATAATTTACATAAGTAGAAAAATGTATTTTTTGGGGGGAGAATTCAAAAAGCAGAACTTTTGCTTAAAAGGAACTGTTTGTCTTGTTCAACCCATCAAAAACTGGAAAAAACTAACCCATGTATATTAAAAGCTAGCTACCTTTAAAAGTTATCTCAAATCAATAATTTCAGTAGCACAAATTAAGGAGTTTTGTTTTCGAAAAAAATTACATTGAGAATTACTAACTCATATTTTTAAATAAGAACTCTTATTTACTTTACTCTAAAAATTGGCAAATTAAAAATAATATTACACAAGAACATGTAAATAAAAAAAATCACCAGGAGACATTAACTTACTGGAATGTGTACTAGCTTCTCCAAGTTCAATTTGACGATGCGTTTTGATCACATCAAATGGAACAGTCATTAAAGCAGCAATCTAAAAATAAATAAATAATAATGAAAACTAGAAAAATCATGGAATGAGGTGAAATTGTAAATTATGAACAGGCTGAGGTGGAAGTTTATGAAGGTAAGCCCTATGCCCAAATAAGATATAATGGAAAATGTCTCAATCCATAGTTCTCACCAAATCAGAAAATTTTCAAAATTGATTTTATCGTTAAAACTACCAGGCAAAACACACCTGAAAATGCTTTCTGTTTTGATTGTAGACTCACAGGTGAACAGTACTGTAGAATCGAACGATGAACATTTGCATATTTAGTCCAGATCGTAAAATTCATTAAGTAGTTTAATTTCCGACTCGAGATGCATTGTTGAGAAAGATTTGCTTTTACAAAAATTGCGAAAAGATTTAATCCTATTAAAGAATACTTAAGTACTTATTTATTGCTCTTTTATAGAGCTGAAATAATTATAAAATAGGTACAGTGGATCATAGTTCAAAATCCCATGCCCTCTTAGATATTTTGTTATTTTTGATGCACGTGTTATTGCCATTAGATTTATTCATCATTTTTAGATTACATACTTTTTTTTTCACTATCATTAACTTTAGGAAATTTGTTTCATGACTTGAATTTTTTTGCTTGGAAGTATGAGATTATGTCAGAAATAAAAAGTCAGTATTTTTGATGATTAATTGTTCGGGTCTTTAGTGATCTTAAAAACAGAAAAAACTAGATATCTGGAATGGTCTATTAATTTTTGACAATCCATCCTCTACTGTAATTTTATCACTTTAAAAAATTATTCTAATTAAAAAAAAAAATCCTTTAATGATTTTGGGAATGCAATTTTTAATAAATTAAATTCTTTAATCAGAGCAAATATTATAAGAAATGGACAGGATATAAGGAAAACGTAAGCTTGTCATTAAATGCTATGATTTCTAAAGAGAGAGAGAGAGGATCACATAAATAAATGAAACAATATCAGCCCAGGAAAATTTTGTGCAGTTAAGCTATTAGACAAAACATAAAAAAGAAATATCTTATGCAGAATTTAAGGCAGATTTTAAAATCTAAATTAGGGCGGGAGAAGTGTAACAAATGTGCACATAAACCACATGACTAAAAAATGCCAATTATGATCATTACTAATCATGCTAACAAAACTATACCAAGAATCATACTGATTTACAAATTCCCAAATTTTTACAGTTGCATTATTAGTCAATAAAAAATTGAAAACACAAACTATATTGAAAAATAATCGAAAAGACCGCATTTAAGAATATTAAATTGATTAATTTGAAATTTGCACTGGTATCTTTAAACATATTTTTGTTAAGTATAAATCTAGTAATGAATCTGTTAATAATTCTCGTTATGAATGAATTGTTAATAATTCTTTTTGTTAACAATCTTTAGTTTTTTTTTATTACTAAAAATACGATATCACATTCTTACATACGCTAACTGATAACTTCCAAAAGAAGGCAAGCTATTGTCTTCATTAACAATCGCAATAGAGGAAAGCTGTTCTTCCCACTCCTTAATGTGGGTGGATCAACTAGTTAATATTTACAGGGGTAGCAGCAAAGTTTTTTAAAATTTTAGGGCAATTTTAGGAACTTTTTCAAAAAATTTTAGGTAAATTTTAGGGGTAATATATGATTTTGCTAGGATAAAAACAGATCACACGGTAGTTTATTACATAACAGAAGATTATTACAATTCATCCACACATATCATAAATAATTGCAAGCCATAAAATAAAGCTCTGAAATTTATTAAGTCAAGAATGAAATCTCTAANTTTTAATTTCTCTTCAAAATATAAATATTTAAACAATTTTTGTGCAAAATTTTTCTTCACATGCATTTGAATATAAATTTCTGAGATTTTAAATCTGTTATTTTACCTTAATTTTAATTAAAAAATATTTTAAAACCTGCTGATTACCTATAGTATAATTAAATTTCAATATAATGCATGGCAACTGTTGGTAGTTTTGAAGTTTATATATTTTCTTGGCAAACTTCAGTTTTTGACGGTTTAAACCAGTACTATACCCTTGTCATGTCAAAAACCCAACCCTGATAGAAATAAAAAGTCAGTATTGTTGATGATTAATTGTTCGGGTCTTTTGTGATCTTAAAAACAGAAAAAACTAGATATCTGGAATGGTCTATTAATTTTTGACAATCCATCCTCCACTGTAATTTTATCACTTAAAAAATTATTCTAATTAAAAAAAAAAATCCCTTAATGATTTTGGGAATGCAATTTTTAATAAATTTTTTAATCAGAGCAAATATTATAAGAAATGGACAGGATATAAGGAAAAAGTAAGCCTGTCATTAAATACAATGATTTCTAAAGAGAGAGATAATAAATGAAACAATATCAGTCCAGGAAAATTTTGTGCAGTTATGCTATTAGACAAAACATAAAAAAGAAATATATTACGCAGAAGAGTAATCAACTATATAATATGAATTCTTTGATTTTAAGGCAGATTTTAAAATCTAAATTAAATTAGAGCGGGAGAAGTGTTACAAATGTGCACATAAACCACATGACTAAAAAAATACCAGTTATGATCATTACTAATCATGTTAACAAAATTATACCAGGAATCATACTGATTTACAAATTCCCAAATTTTTACAGTTGCATTATTAGTCAATAAAAAATTGAAAACACAAACTATGTAGATTGAAAAATAATTTATAAGGCTGCATTTAAGAATATTAAATTGATTAATTTAAAATTTGCACTGGTATCTTTAAACATATTTTTGTTAAGTACAAATCTAGTAATGAATCTGTTAATCATTCTCGTTATGAATCAATTGTTAATAATCCTTTTGTTAACAATCTTAAGTTTTTTTTTAATTACTAAAAAACTGCATAGTGTACATGTATAACACGATAACACATTCTTACATATGTTAACTGATAACTTCCAAAAGAAGACAAATCATTGTCTCAATTTTGCATAGCAATAGAAGAAAGCTGTCCTTCCCTCTCATTGATGTGGTTGAATCTACTAGTTAATGTTTAGTTTAATTTTAAGTTTAACCTTTTTGAAAAATAGATACAACATATAAACAGGACTATATTAAACACCAAACTAACAACTTAATATTTTTGTTGCATGATATCCCTTAGCTTGCAATAGAACATGAATATAAATATGCCGTATTTTAAACAATCCAGCATTATTTTAGATATTAATAAAAAAAAAGAGGCAAATTTACAAAAATTGCTTTTTGAACACATTTTTATTTTAAAAAAACTTATTAGTAATAGCATAAAATTATATTGCTATTAATAATAACAGGAGCATTTAAAATGTAATTAATAAAGATCATAGAAATACTAAATTAACTGAGAATTCGAACAAACAAACAAAAAATCCACAAAATAATTTAACAATGCAGTAGAAAAACAAATAAAATCTGTTTAAATGAACTTACACTTCCTGAAATTGCACCAGCTGTAAAACTAAACCAAAATGTGGGGTCTCGTTGGTTGAAATGTTCTTTTAAGAGTTCATAGTGAAACCAATATATACCTAAAAAAAGAACTTCTTAGTTCAACAAAAATACTTCTTGACTCCAGGAAGAAAAGAAAGTGAGAACACTTACAAGAAAATGGAACATCTCTCAATACTGTTGGTCCGAGACCTTGCCACATGGAACGGAGCCCTTGATTAGAAATTTGATTCCTGATAGCTACACTAATTTCTAGATAAGAAAAATAACACAATCAACCAAAGCCATTAACATTGAAAAAAGAAGTATATTTTACATTTATTTTGGCACATTACCATTATAACTAATTTTCTGTGACTGCATCTTAGTTCTAACCAACTCTATAGGACTGACTAAAGTTGCCGCAAAAACTAGAAAAAATGAGACACATAAAATGAGGTAATGAAATAGCCTTTAATAAATAAAAATAAGAGATTTTAACAAGTCCTTAACCAACCACACAATAATTTTTGACCATTAAAATTGTTTAATTTAACAATTAACACCTAATTACAATAATAATAAGTAAAATACAAGTATGATACAGATAATAGTAGGCCATGCAGTTAAACAAATACATTTAAACTATACACATAACCTTTTGACGCAGATGAGGCACCGATGTGTCTTATTATTTTCTTTTTCTATTATTATGTGTCTTTTTCTATAATTATGTTCTATTCGATGCGTCTTATTATTATTTTAAAAAGATTCCTTGATATTTCTTAATTATAAAATGCAGTTTAATAGTTACTAAAAAAAATTGTTGAATTATTGAAATACAAAAATATAATATTTTTCACTCATTTTGACCTAAATTAATACAAAATAAGGAAAAAAGTACGAAAAATATGTTCAATAAAATTCTGTGTTAAAGGGTTAAACCACCAATGCCAAAGACAATGAAATTAGTCAAAACTAAGTTAATAAAATTTTTTGGAATCAATATGTCAAGGAATAAATTGTATTAAACACAAAAACAATCATTATTAACAAAAAAGAAAAAAAATATTGAGTTATCCACTCAATAAGCATATCTATGCTACTCTGAAACATCTTTCATGGGCACTTAATTTGCACAAAAACTTTTGAATATTCTATTTTTAGTGAAAACAGTTATATGAAAAATAAATTTAAACAAGCAACCAATGTTATAAGGAATGGGCTATGATGATAGAAAAATTTAAAAAAATCATCTAATTCTAAATTTTAAAACTAAAACTAATATTTCGAACTAAAATCAGTTTAAAATATACTAAAATTTTGATTAATAGTAGTGATTCTTTAGGTGCCTGGGGATATGACTCCTGAGTGTTTCATAAACAAGTCAAACAACTTTCTATTAGACAATAGGAAAAAAAAAAGTATAAAATCTGAAAAACACAGGCACCAAACACTCAATAAATGAAAAGCAGTTAAAAATAAAGCTTTAGAAAAAGTAATAAATTTTAAAGCACTACTTGGGCTTTGCTTACACCCAGGAAAAGCAGCACACCTTAATAATGGCAATGCATAAAACAGAATTAAAGAGGAGAAAGAAACATTACCTCTGGCAAATCCACCAGCAACAGCCGGTAACCACAAAGGCTGTTTAGACCATTGACATTGAGCCTTCATAGAGTAAAGAATTTGATCATACATTGTATAATAAGCAACAGTACCAGGCACAGCCATTACACTATAAAAGAAAAACATCAATCAATGAATTATTGGGAAAAATGCATCAATTGCAGTTAAAAATGAAATTAGAAGAAAATGTTTATATAAATGCATCATAGAGTACAAACAGACAATGAAGGAAACAGACACTGAAGAAAATTATACAATATATGCTATTATAAAAATCACTACTTACAGTGTTGGTGGGAGTCCACTCCATAAGGATCTTACGCCCTCAGTTCTAGTTATTTTAGCAAAGGCATCCTGTGAACATTAATTGACATGTGATATTAATTTGAAAGAATATTAATTTCAAAGTCACATTTTCTAAAGAAAATTTCAATTAGACACAAGCACAATTTTAGAAATGCATATCTATTTTCATAAAAAAAAATATCCATGATAATAAATAATTAAAAAAAAAAAAAAAAAAAAAAAAAAAAAAAAAAACTATCTGGAGCATATTAAACTAGCAGAAAAATAATGCATAATTTGATATTTGAAATAAATAGACAAATGAGAAAAAAAAAAAAACCTAGAGAATGATTATGACATTAAACTAAAATAGTTTAAAAAAATTACTTTATATGTAACTTTAAATGCATTTATTTAATACCATACCATAAAAAAACAAGACTAAATTAAAAAAGAAAAGAAAAAAGCGTAAATAAACAGCACATTGCGTTTTCTTAACAATTATAAGAGTTTTTTTTTTCTTTCTAAGAATTAGTTTGCATGAATTATACCACAACAAAGCAGTTAATAACAAAGATTCACTTTCACTTTATGAAAATGTAGATTTGCCACTATTAAAAAAATTTTCTTTTCAAAGGAAATAAAAATCACACAGAGAAGCTACTACAAGGAGTTAATATAATTTTATATAGCTCTAGATGACTTTTGTTCAAAATTGGATGTGCATTTCTAATGTAATTAGATAACAAAGAAAGCAAAAACTACACACCAAAGTTCCAGTTAGTTGACCAGATCGTTGCCAATATGATGATGGGCCAACAGCATGAACACCACAGCAGAATTCTTCTACAAAGCCATTGCAATACAGGAAACATCTCTTGCTTGTTTTTTGTTGAGCTTGAAGACGAGTTTTTACAACATCCAATGGAGTAACTGTCAAATGAAAACAAAATATATTCAGTTTGATTGAAACACATTTAAAAATAATTTTTTTGCATAAAGGCCTTCAGACAGACTGGAAGAAGGAATTGTCAGAATTAATTTTTTAAATATACAACTGAAAATAGGCTGACGATAAAACCACATGTATCTACGTCAAAAGCACGCGAAACGGACTCATCAATGTTTTAAAATACTATTCTTGTATAATTCATCAAAACTATTATTTCTCATGAAAGAGCTTACTCCCTCAAAATTTAATGTAGCTTAAAGCCAGATTTTAGAGTAGTATAATATAGATGATTATGCCATGATTAGAAAGTTCTAATCTTTTACAAAAAATGTTTCAAATATTTTTTTTTACATTTTTCAATATTGAAGCTAAAAAAGTTGTAAAACTTATGCAAAAGAATTAAAAAAGATAACCAGTATAAGAAAAAAAAAAAAAACCTAGAAGTTAATTTCTAGCAATTAAGCAGTTTTTTAAAATTTACTTATTTTATTATTAAATTTTTTAATCTTATTTATTATATTAGTTTTGAAAATAAGTGACTGTTTCCCCTTCCGTTTACGCTGTTATGAAGTATTCAGGCTAAAATATTGTTTTAAAATTTTGCACTTTCTAATTTGTTAATGGAGTACAATATTTCCATTATATGCAATAACAGTAGATAAACATTCGTAGATAAAACGAAAAACTAGGATACCTTTCGATTTAAGTATTTAAAAGTTCGAGGTAATCGAACTTTTATCACACTTAACACTTAGAAAATAAATAAACAATAATCTGGCATGATCTGAAGATTAGATGATCTGATCATTATCACGCAACATTCAGAAAATTCAAAATTTATAAGAACGTTTGAAGGGGGGAATACTTTATGTGTATAACTAAAAATAAAATAATGTTATAAAAAAAATAAGCTGATTTCCTTCTTTTTGTAAGATGGAGATTCCTTATACGAGATGAGAAAAGTGGATCGCGGTAATGTTTATGTATAGGGATAATTTTCCTTATACACAAGAACATTTTCTTGAATTTCGAAAGTCAGTAAACTTCTCCACCAAGCCTCGCTCTTCAAACAATTTTTGATAGCTATAGCTTGCTAAAAACTCTTTAACTTCGAAAGGAGATAGAATTGAGCTAGATAAAACAAACCTTAGGCACCTGCATAATAATCTTAGACACGCGAATCAAGCACGTTAAAAAGTGATAACTCAAATTCGAAATTCTCATGTCGTAATAACGTAGTTTTATCAATATCGGAATTTAAAGAGCCACGTGAAGAGAGAGAAAAAAACAAGGGAATCCGTTTTCATTATTTTTTCTTCACCGAGACGCATTTCCGGGAGGAGATTGCATACTTAAAAATTCTCATATACGAGAATTTCGCACACCTAAAAACACATTTAAAGAGCGCACGAAACTATCATGACAACAACTTTTTAAATGCGAGAAAAGAAAACAAATGTGGGAGTTAAAAAAAACTTCTTGCAGCGCAACGATATTGCCCTTGGTACGAAAATATAGCAATTACGACAAAAGCATAATAATATGTTTTTTTAAAGGTATATGAAAAGAAACAATATAAAATTTTTCATCTGTGATTTAATTAAAAAAAAAAAAAATCAAAACAAATATTGTCACACTTTTCACCCCCAAGAGTTGCATCATTCATGGACGATCTCACACAGTACATGTTTCGAGGATAAGTTATAAATTATTTGCTAGAAACACCCAAATTAACCCAGTTTCGCGAAAATAATAAACACAACTGTTTATTAATTTCACTGTTAATACGAAAACAATATGAACAGCTGAGGATTATTACGATATTGAATAATAAGTGACGCGCATATGAGCCTCCGAAACGCTCAAACACACAAAACAAATCTTAGATATGACGTCAAATAAAAGATATACAAAATGCGGAAACGATCCCTATCATTTCAAGAGCAGATGAAGAAAGCATCTTGTTGAATTCTGATTTCATGTTTTATCTCTTTGCCAACAATGTTGACGTAACACGAAAATTAAATAGGGACGTAGATAAGGTTTTAGAAGACATATGAAGGACGCAAAGATTTGTGTTCGAGCTTAATTTTAATTGAATTAATCTTCAAATGAATGTTAAACAAAACGCAAATGCACTTGCCGAATATAAAAATTTGTTAAAATTATAGGCAAGAAAAAGAAACATGTTAAAATCAGCTAATGAAAAGAAAATTGATAGTGACAAATTTCATTAAGAAAAAATAGCTTTAAAGAAAGAAATACATCTTTCAGCTCAAACCAACTTATAGACCCAATTTTTTTAAAAAGCGATAAGAAAAGTTTCTGAATCGTTTTCTCATTTTCACTTTAACAACACAAGGTACTGCGATGATATCATTTAATAATCAGATAAGCATATATAAGCATGAGCGCCGTTCTGAGAAAATCCGCCATTATCACGGAAATTTTTTTTAATATTACTCTATGTATATTATATTAGGGAAAAAANAAAAAAAAAAAAAAAAAAAAAAAAAAAAAAAAAAAAAAAAAAAAAAAAACGAAGTTTATTTGACTTTTAAACATTGAAAATGGAATGGGCAGCGGTTAAATATTAATTAAATGTTTGCATTGAAATGTTTCAGAGCGACTTAAATATTTAATATGCTAATATCACTATAAAATTAAATTTAAAAAAACTTCTTCGAACAAATTCTATTAAAATTAGAACGGCGAAATAAAATTAGTTGGAAGAGTGGATCAATTGCTTGCAGAAAGTTTTTCATATTATCTTTAGTCTCTAAAAAAGGACACGCCATCAATAAAGCATGCCTAGATATTTTTTTTTTTTTTTGCAAACTATCTAAAACAGTATAGAGTGCAAAAATTATAAGTTCAGAACAATATTAAAAAGGGTTTAGATTATTTTAATATTAGGGACAAAAATTGACATTGACACGGCGAATATTTATCACACTTATTGGAATGATACTTATCACAAAAAGATCATTTAATGACAGCAAACTTAACGCTGAGGCTTATAAACAAACGTGTCCTTTTTTGAAAAAAAAAAGTGCTTCCCCACCCTAGAAACTTTTTTGTAGAAAAAAAATAGAATTTTACAAAAAATAATTGACAACTATTTACAATTTTAATATTAAGAATAAAAATTAATAAATTAAATATTAAGAAAATTAATAAAGAGAGAATTACAATAGAATGAATAACCTCTAGATATATTATTTGCATATGAAATTCGACTTGAGTAAAAAGAATATGTAACACAAAACTCTTCAAACAAAGAAAAATCGTTTAAAAAGAGCATTAAAAAGGTTTCTCTAACAGAAAATCTACTCGCACTAATCGTATTACCTTTCGGCAAAGTGCCAGGAAAAATGAAAAACAGTTTCGGTTTCACTCTTAGACTTCACACGTATAATCGAGAATTTTTAAATGCAAACAAAGGTAGACCTTCAATAATACCGGATGGAACTGGAATTAACCAGATTCTATAAAGAAAATTGATCGTGCTACACAGATTACGCATTAAAATGATACAAATATAAATGCTTAACGAAAAAGATCCCCATAATGTGAGGACGGAAATTCAATAAGGATACACCTGCCGGGCACAATTTTATTATTTCATCCATTAAAAGATACAGGGTGTATCAAAATATGTGGTATGTGATACATTACGATGAATGTGAAATATGATAAAATTCTCCAATGGAACTGGGAATTAGAAACGCAATAAAGCAGGTGGCTCTTAGTCAGTAAATCATTCGACGGTGCAAATTTGACAGGTCAAATGCCAAAACCTAAATTGTTTTTAAATTTCAAGAACTCTTTATTTACTTTCAAGAACTATTTTATCTACTTTAAATTTTAACGCTTAAAATTTAAACTCGGAAGAATTAAGTTAAATAGTTCTTTTTAATATTAATAATACTGAAAAAATTATAAAGAAGTTTAAATCTTTTCTATAACTACACATCTTTTTTCAAATTGTTCTTTAAAACAATTCTTTCTATTTCTTGTAAGTTTAAAGTCTTATTAGTATCAAAATAGGGGTGAATTTTTGAGTGAAGGGCCACAAGCGTATTAAGACATGCTGACGGCAAATATGTTAATTTTCAGAAACGTTCTAACACTAAATTAAAAAAGAAAACCTTTCTATTTTTTTTTTTAAAAAAAATCTTTTTATTAAAAACAGATTTTCCAAAATAAATATAAACATTAGGGAAAAATAATGAATTTTTCCTCCATCACATCACATATTAGAAAAGTTCATTTTAAGATAAATTCTGACAAAAACTCCAATGCACACATGACAAAATTAAAAAATATAATGAGTAAATTAGTTAAATAATAATAATTTAAATGAGAGAAAATGTTTATCATTTAAAATGATTTAAATTAAAGCAAAGCCATTATAATTCAAAAGGACTGGAAGTCCAAAATATAAAAATAAGGACTAAAATGCCTCTAAATTTAAGGATACTAACGCAAATGAGAGCGATTTATACAATACGGACATGGATTCGCAGATACACAATTGATGATAGTTTTAGTAGCACATGCACTTGAACGGAAAAAAAAGGGGGGGGGGGGTACAGAGTCTAAAGACAGAAAATTTTTAAGTAGCAGTAGTAAAAATACGGAGATTCTCCTATTAAAAATATGATTTAGTGATAGAAGCTTTTCGTATTTACAACAAAGCTCTCATATGGTACGTCACCATCAAATCAAGGTCGATTGCTGCCAACAATGGAAGTAATTAATAACGTACTCCACGTACTATAAAGATTTAGGCATTCGTGGTGTTACATACTTAGCTGCACGGCATATAACGAAATTTCTAAACTTGAAATTTCTTTACACCGTTTTCAGTATTTGTTAATAATATTTCTCCATATTAATTATTATTTCTAATACTCAATAGATGGCGCTCAGCGCAGTAATGTAAAATCATTAGTTTCTAATCAGTTTCCTCCATGAC